AATATGCTGTGAAAAGTCACACGCACCTGTACTTGCCAGATCAAAAGTCGTACAAACATATGTAGAGCATATTAACATATATAGCATAAAAATACACTTTGTTCACTTCAAGTAGCAGTAAAATCTTCTGGACATTTGCATAATTATTCCATTGCTCTGGCATCACAACATAGGAACTTACAACATCATGAATTATTCCTTCATATCTTCTGTAGGAACAAAAGACTTTCAGTTCTTCAAATATAGAAATCTCAACTTACAAAAGCATAAATAGAACCTTGACTTTATGCATGAAAAGCAAACGATGACCCAGATGGCCACCCTCTAGTTTTTTTATCACCTAGCTTTCTTGTAGTATTGCAACTGGATGTGAATTCTTATAAAAACATTTGATCACCAAACATTTGTCTTACATACTTCGCTATGTTGTAAGTAAATTTCCATCTATCCATTAGAAGACATCCTTAAAATTAGAGGTGTGCCACATCATAACACCCACACAGACTGAAATAAGATGTCGGAGTATCAGTAGTTTTTATACAGCCTCAGAAAAAATATAATAATGTATAAATATTTAAATTACACCTATCTTGAGGCGTTTAGACAATGGTTCTGATAATTGTGACTTATTGCTTCAAAATTTCCTTCAATATAGTGAAGTTTAATGGCAACATCTTTTTTATTCTATAAATGAAGGGTCTTGTCACCTGTTCATTCACCTGAATTTTCTAAAGGAAGATGCAGATTTTGACTTCTCAAAATACTCTAATAATCTTTAGCATTATAGAATAAAGATCTCTTTGCTTACATAGATTTTAGATAGGGGAGGTTAATGACAAGATTCTGATCGTCTGAAAATCCTGTATCTTGACGAAATGTGAGAAAGTGTCCGGCTGAGCAAGGTTCAACTGTATGGCAATACAGGTCTCCATCATACACCAACCCTACTTAACGTGACATCTAAAGGTTTATCCAGCATTGGAAATACAGTTGAAGCACATTGTGTCAAATTTGGGGGGGCCTGGAAGAAAGTTTGTAATTTGGGGTGAGACAACCAAAAGGGTACTTCTGACAACTAAGTGTCTTGTAATGACAGATTGTTGCCAGGTTAGCATGAAGCACAAGTTTCAAGGTGAAGGCAAATTTCAGCGCCCGTACAGCTGGTAGTGGGGAAAGTGTCAACTTAGTCTTAACGTCTCACTGTCAGGATTGGTGTCACATCTCGAATAAATGTTTCACTAACATAATCTGTATAACTCACTTCCCACTTGTCACATGTCAAAGGCAGTCAGGTTGGGAAACTGACGTAACTTGCTACCAGTGGGTACACAGTAATCAACTCACACCTTGGACATTGAGTGTGTTTGTTATTAGACTTTATTGGAAGTTGTTAGAAGGTAAACGGCTTCTAATGTAAGTAGATCTACAGCAGTGAGGTCAGTCAGCTGTGTGTGCAGCGAGTCAAAAGTTGAACCTTTCTCAAGTGTGTCATAGTTCTTAAATTTCAATTGTTGGAGTCATCAGGGGAATATTATGCTAAATTGGTATACTTGGGACTCCGAAATGAGTTCGAGATACAAGTATAAATTATTATAAATAGAGAAGGAATTTGCAGGGACCTGAAATTGAGTTCAAGACCTGTGAATCTGACACATCCAATTTTGACACCAGGAGGTTTGACTGTAATTTATGTAGGGACTCTATGTCAACATTGATCACCTGCCCATAAATACTATCTTCCTGCAGCCTTATCAAGAAAACTGAACACACTACTTGTTCCAACAAATATTGATCATTGACGGTCAAATTAACTTCTCACAACTAGACATGTGTTTCATGGTATCTGACAATTATGAAATGATGTCACAAATATCATAACCGTTGCACATTATTTCATATTATTGGGTTAAATCCTAGACGGTTTAGTAATGATACTTCTAAGCAAGAAAGTCACATTCACATTAATGCTCAAGCTGAAATTGAGTTGTTAGGATAATAGCACTATGAAAATATTAACACATAAATATGACGCAGTTAGAAACAAATAAAAGACAACCCAGATCAAACAAAATTGAGCACCATTACCAAATATTCTCTATTTCAGAATATTGTCTGTTGTACGGTTCAACACATTTGGTGGTCAACATCAATAAAAGTCACCAGTGCTGTTATATTCAAAATCTAAAAATAAAACTTTTCAAACAGTGAATTAACAGTCAAGTTATACTGAGCAGTATTAGGTCTGTACTCTAGGGGTGAAATGGCATACCACGCTATTAGCAGAACCGCGGTATTTTGCATTCGGTTCGGTATACCGTAATGCAATCCAAATATTTGTTATTTTCAGTTTTTTGTACTGTTCTTCTATCTGGTCATGAAATGGCAGTTTTGTTTTTTCAAAATAACAAAGGTTATGGTTAATTTCTTTCATGTTATTAAACAATGTAAGGTTTGGCTCTTATCAATTTTCTGCATTATGATCATATCTCATATGTACCAAACCGAAATGGACCAAACTAAAAGCCTTGTACCACAATATGGACCGTACTGTGGTAAGACTGTACCGTTTCACCCCTACTGTACCCAGGTAATCTAGTCAGGTAAGTCGAAAGCAGGACCTAGGTACCCACAGGTAAATCATGTGATATACTGTTTAATGACAATGACAGTGAAACTCCATAGTTTCACAACAAGCGATAATGTTTGAACCTCTTGACTATGCAATAATTTCTTCTTTCTCAAGATTGAGTAAACATAAAGCTTCAGTGAACTGAAATGTATGCATGATCTGATCATTTTAAACATGCATCTAAATATGTTTTGCCAAAGTTTTAATTACATAATTCCCAACATATCACATGATTTGTCTGTCTGTAACACAGAGTGTTTTATGACAAAATCAGGGATGCAAGCTCGGTCGATATTGTTTTACTCAGGTCAATAAAAACCGGTATCGACCTCTACAAGAGTCTATAATTGTATAATAGCGATTTCTAAGGTTCAGGCAGTATTACTGACTGACTGAGTTTAGTTTTACGCCGCTTTTAGCAATATTCCAGCAACATCACGGCGGGGGACACCAGAAATGGGCTTCACATAATGTACCCATGTGGGGATTCGAACTCGGGTCTTCGGCGTGACAAGCCAACGCTTTAACCACTAGGCTACCACACCGCCCCTCAGGCAGTATTACTCAGTGTTGAGAAGCAAATGAAACCTACACTTCCATCTACAAAATGGGATGATGTGTATAATTATAAATATATAGATGATGAAACTGACATTGAAACATGTCTTTGTTTCTGTAGTATTACAACCTGTTTATTTTGAAACAATATTATTCACAAAGATGACGGTACTTATGAAATATAACACATGTAATGACGAGAGGAAATGATCTTCATGATTCAGATGAAAATTGCTGCCATTTTCAAGTTTTGATAAGGTTTGATACATTCAGCCTTAGAACATTGCATGAGACTTCTTTGAATGAGCAGATGAATAAAAAAGGAATTAACAGCAGTTACATAAATATTAATACTGGAACATTGCTGAATTTAAGAAAACCTGACTTCAATATACTGTTAACTGGCAAATATTTAACGTCTACTATACACAGAATGTTTGGTGTGTAAGAACATAAACCTGGGATAGATTAACGTCTCTGGACAATCATTAACAAATAGAAATTGACTCACTTGGAATTAGTTTACACAATCCAAAAGTCTTAGTATTGTGGTGTCTTATTTTGGCAAATTAAATAGATTTCTTCTGTTAACACTATATGTTCCTATTTTGACTTCACTGGGTGGGAATAGATATCTATTGTGAACTATTCTGTGTTCATCCTTCACAATACCCTGTCAGTCAGTTAGTTCGGTTGTCACAGGTATGACTGTGACTGTAGCGTTCTTGTTTCAACCAATGAGATTAAATCAACAAGGTTTGTACAAAAATAAGATTAAAATCGCCAAACATTTTGACAAAACAATCAACAAATAAGAGAAGAGAAAATATGCACTATAACAACAAAGTATGCACTATTTATCATTTCCCCATGTAGAAAAGAAAATGTCACATGATTGTCCAATGATTTAGCAGGATTTCCTCAGTTCAAGGGAGGTAACTCACACAACCAATGTCCAAACCTATAAAATACATCACAATGGATAATGGAATGTATTGAAATTGTGTGAGCCATGCTTTTACTCAGCAGGAATTCAAATCCTTCACCACTAAATGTAACACATTCTTTGATCACTGAACTGAGCCAGGCACATTGCCAAAACACGGGCAAGTCGTATGGTTGTTTAATTGCTGTCCTTTGGGCGTATAACACATGGCTCCATGTTCCACATGACATATTCATCAGTTACTGTAAGCCATGGCACTAATTATTCATCCAATTTTATTTCATCACTATAAATAAAGACGTTGCCATTTTTAGGTCTGTATTTTATTCTCTCTCTTCAAAATGAACACCATCCACTATGAATTCTTGTGAAACATCCTTGTGAATTCTGTGTTGTTTGGTTTCTTTCAAATATAAGCCAAATCCACAAGCAATGAAAGGTCAATAATTCCAATGGTTACATCAAGGCTACAGATGTAGGCAGCCATGTTTCGGTGGACATATATCGTCATGGCAACATTAGGGCTATGTTTGTCCAGACAGCCATTTTTCGGTGGACACACATCGTCATGGCAACATCAAGGCTATGTTTGTTTAAAAAGCCACTAACAGCCATGTTCGGGTGACACATATTGTCATGGCAACATTAAGGCTATGCGTGTTCAGACAGCCATGTTCTGATGGACATACATCGTCATGGCTACATCCAGGCAAAGTCTATGCAGATAGCCATATACTCAGACAGTGTGGATGTGCAGTGAGTGTACCGAGAATGGGTTTGACCAGTATGATATGAGAGGTCACTGTTCCAGATGCTGTCATACCATGTTGACCTTCTGAAGTCTCTCCACCAAGAGGGCTACTGATGTATTGTTCTTCATTACCGACACAGCATCATTGTGATCAACATTGCGGAAATCCATGCCGTTCACCTGAAGAACATAAAACAAATCATTCATTTTATCTCAAGAGGATAGGGAACAACGCACTGCCTCACTGAACAGAATATTTATCACCTCCATGCCTCTTCCCCCTAAACATATAAATGGACTGTTCCTTAGTAACAAACAGACCTACAAAACAGATAAATACCTTCAAGGGGAAGAACTCTTTGATTCGACAAATGGTATTTTATTTCATATTTTTACTCAGAGGCTTAATTTTATTACATTATCTTTTTATCTTATCACTGAATACCCTCTTGAAATCACTGATAGAATCATATTTTCATTTTGACCATATGTGTGATGGTTTTGAAAAAGAGGCCATTGCATGAACTGCAATACAGTAAAATTTTAAAATGAACATGTTTATGATGAAAAGATGAACATAAACTGTTTCATTCATTCATTCATTTTGCTGTCCTTTTTGTTGAAACGCATATAAGAGGGTCAGTAGGGTAGCCTAATGGTTAAGACCCGGGTTCGATTCCCCCATGGGTACAATGTGCGAAGCCCATTTCTGGTGTCCACCACTGTGATATTGCTGGAATATTGCTAAAAGCGATGTAAAACCATACTCACTCACTCATATAACAAACTACAGTTATAACGAAGCAAAATAATTAGTTAAATCGAGGTAACTGAGTTTAGTGTATATGTCAGTCTCTTAGTCTAAACTTTCCATCAAATGTAATACCTCCATGATCTTGTCTCCTGGACGAAGTGTTTTGGCAGCAGGGCCATCAGGCTGAATCTTGGTGATGAAGATACCCTGGGTGGTGACAAATGGAATAATGGTCAGTTGAAAAAATATAACTCGGGACCAAACAGACTAGTGGTTGATATCATGAAGATTGATATATGTAATTGGGATACAATTGGCATCAACCAAGTCAGTGAGCCTGACCTCCCGATCCTGTTAGTTGCACCTTGTGGCAAGCATGGGTTTCTGGATCTTCATGGGTTAATTAAGTTAATTCAAATGTAGTAACACCAGTTCCTCACCTTATCATTGGGTCTGTATGGGTTTCCATGAGACCCGAGACCCCCTGCTACACTGAAGCCAAGACCTGGGTTTTTTGGTGATTTTAACTCGAAACTGGAAAAAGAAACAAACTCACATTCATCTCATAATACTTCTAAAAATCATAAGGTTTTCCTGGCAATACTGTGTGCCTCACATAGACATTTGTAGCTGACATTTACAAAAATCAAGGTTTGGAATGTTAAATTTCAACATACCGTTTCTCTGATTTCCTGGTATGAGTTATCGACAGAGTTGTCTGCCTTTGGATACCCTGAGTCATCTCTGACAGGAGTTCCCTCCCTTGACTGCCCTGACATGTATGCATCTCGTGATGCTGAGCTGCCTTGTCGGATCAGCGAGTGGTGAACCTGTGGAGATGGAGGGGGCTGGGAACCACTACGACCTGAAACAAATAAAAAATACCATATACTACAAAATATCTAAACAGGGTAGGAGTCTCTAGAAAATGTTAAGAAATGTTGGAGACCATGATTTCATGTAATTTATGACACAGTCTTCAGGAAATCATTCAAGACTGAAGGAATCATGTCTATTTTTCTGGAATCTCATTAAAAAAACTCATAAAGAAAGGTTGACATTTGAACACACAAAAAAAGAAGAAAACCCTCATAAAACCTTATGGACAAATAATATACCAATCACTACTGGAGACATCTGTGATATTCTGGATTTACAGCAACCAGACTCACATGAACAACCTCTGCAATATCCATAACTTGATGGACAAGTGAAATCACTATGTAAATTAGTGGTGGTCCGATTAATTGAAATAATCGAAGATTGGTCGTAGTGACTTAACGACCAAGCAATCGATCATAATTTCTCATAATCGAACACAACCAATTTTGGAACACTTGTTTTCATTAACAATATTTTTCACATGGTTGGTTTTGTCTGATTCATTTGGTAAGCACTACAAGCTCGTTTCAAGTCATGATTGAATTTATCTTAAAGGCTCCAAGAAATTTATGTTCCTAACATACTAGTCATCCTTTAAAGATGTGAAATTTTGCCCCAAAGCCCCAAAAGAACTACATGTTTTTTTTGCTTATTTTTATGTGCATTAACAAATTTGATACATGATGTTAACCAATTATTTTCGATGATTGATCGGTTGTAATGAACCAATCATCAATTATGAGATTTTAACCAATTCCCAACACTAATGTACATATGTATGTATGTAAAGTGATGCCAGAATCTGATAATAAAGGGTCTACATTATTTGATATCTCATAATAACATAAAACACTGCCTATTTCAAGTATGTTTTGCTTTACAACCCTGACATGTCCAGAGAAGACATGAAATGACATGACATAACAGACATGGATTTTGTCCCCAGAAAATGTCAATATAATTGTAACAGGATTTTCGGGTCAGCTGAGTGTTGTTAACGAGAGCTGGCAACGTGTCCTCAATTTAAACTACATGCACCAATGTTTGAAACTGAAAAAATATCATGGCCACGCTTGATGATGAAACTTTTCATGTTCTAATATAAGCAGGTTTTTCTTCAACAAAAAGCTACCAGGCCAGCTGATTGTTTCCTCACTTCAAACTGGCTGTCTGCCTTTTTGAAAACATATCAGAAAAATAAGTGAGTGATGCGTAAGAATTCTCTCGGTCAACAACCTCCAGCTGTATTACAGCTACCTGTAATTAGTGTAAAGTAGACAGGTTCAGTGAGTCCTGTGGTTAATAGCATGAGTGTACACACTGTCATGGTACGATTTGTTTGTTGTTTACAACCACTCAGCAATTATACAGCTATTTGGCGGCGGTCTCTAAATAATCGAGTCAATCCAGTGATCAACAGCATGAGCATCAATCTACGAAATTGCGATCCGATGACATTTTCAACCAAGTGAACAAGCTTGACCACCCGATCCCGGTCGGTTCTTAAGAGTGGAGTGAGTGGATATACGCTTTTAGCAATATTCCAGCAACATCACGGCGGGGGACACCAAAATGGGCTTCACACATTGTACCCATGTGGGGAATCGAAGTTCGAGAGCAAGCGCTTTTAACTACTAGGTTACCCCACCGCCCCTAGTCGGTTCTTAAGAAAAGCATGGGTTGAAGACCAATTCTAGCCTGGATCTTCAAGGGTTTGTATGATATGATATAACCTATCTGGCCACCTATCGACATCCACAGATCCTCTCATGTCCACCCCTATGACAAACATACTATTCAAAAGAATTTAGGGAGCAAACAACTGTTACATAATCTTGTGTAGTATACTAAATATTTCAAGCATACAGTCTCATGTCAATTTGACCAACCTGAATGCCGGGAGAAATCGCCTACTCTGTCGTAGATTGGATGGCTGTGACCGTATCCACTGTCTGTTGAACTTGACACCTGCGATGAAGGATCCGACGTCTTGAATTTCTCTACATCCTCATATTTTGTCATCATCGGCACTAACGATTCCTCCGGTTCAGAATCATGATATGTGTACGAATCATACATCCTTTGAGAATCAGAATTTTCAAACGTCCTTGACCTTGGCCGTTCCCTATATGGGTCGCTATGTCTCCTCACAGGATTTGAACGGTCACTTTGAAAAGACACATTGCCGACATCAATAGTCAATTGCTTATCTAGTTTGTCAGTTTTCTCTGCACGTGATCCTGGCCGATCTCGTAAGAAAATGTCCTCTTGTGAAGTCCCTTTCAGGTCATAACGATCACTAAGATAACTTGTTGTTTTTCTTTTATCCCCTCCAGACTGATTGTCATGGTACGTGTTCCGTACCATTTGGGGGGTTCTGTTTCCCTCACTGCTCTGTGTTCTGTCTAACGTCCATGTCTCGTAGTCTTTGTGTCGGCTGATGCTGTCGGGTGTCGGCCTTGTCGGGTCAGACAGACGTGACGGACAGTCTCTGGGAGAGTCTGACTTGGACCTGGGAGAATCCAGCCCTGGCCTAGGGGACTCTGTGTAGGACCGGTCCCCTGATGAGGTAGAGGATGTCCTCTCTGGAGTGCGTCGGTATGGTGGGGGAGGTTTGAAGGACGGGGGTTTCATCATATGGAGCTCGCTAGGAGGACGTTGTTGACCCTGGAAAGATGATATGATGAACAATGGAGCCATATGCCTTAAGATATTGAGCTGAACAGACATTGAAATTGCAAGTTAGGCATTAGCATAATTTAGCATTTTGCCCTGTCTCATGCAAGATATTGATAGTTGAAAATTTGAACATTATACTAAAATCATCACAACTTGAGCAATATGGGTAGGACTCATGAACTAAACAATGGTGACGGATCTTACTGCATCATCTCCATGTTATGTTGTATAGAGTCTTTGAATGGCATTTAGAAGTGATACACATTCACCTGATGAAGGAGTAAGAATATACTTCAAAACGTCGTGTCCATCACAATAAAGAAGTTGACTGAAGTTTTTGAAAGGTATTTAGAAGTTGGACGACCATTTTTTATTCTTTATACGACGTTTCAGAGCTAATTCTTGCTCCTTCCTGCTGATGAAGGAGCAAGAACAAGCTCTGTTGTTGTTATCCATAAAACATATCATGTATTTAAAGAAGTTGACATCCAGAAAAAAGTCTTGCCTTTAAATTTGATTAATAAATTTTACATTTTAAGTTTCAAACTCAATACTTCAGAATATAAATCTTTCAAACAGCTTGCACTTACCATTGACTTCCCGACATCTCCATTTTGTTTCTGGATTCGCTCTTCCAGCACTGTGTAGAGCTCTCGCTGGAAGTCCTTGCCCTGACTGGTGTCAGGAGCAGACGTCATCAAGCTACCATCTTGAACTGTTGGTGGGAAGCTCTCTGGCGGTTCAAGAGCGACCGGCGTGCTCTGATCCACAAACTTATTTCTCTGGAATAGACTTGGGGACGGTGTAGGGAGAGGTTTCAGGGGAGACAGAGTGGTGTTTTTCACACTTTCCTGACTTGATGTTTGGTTGAATAGTTCATCATTTTTCATCATGATCCTCCGAGAATGAGGCACAGTAGCACTATCTGAGTTCGTCTTGGTTACCTGATTATGCAAATCATACGGAAGACTGTGTGCTGGATGCTGATAAGACAGAGTTGCTGACCTCTGACTCCAATCCTTGCCTCTCCCTGAATACGCCTCGAGATCACTTGCATACCCTCCTTCCCTCCTCGGTCGAGGTCGTTGTTGATGATGATGGTGGTGATGATGTTGATGACGATGATTGTGAGATAGTGTGGATGAACTGACGGATGGTGGACCACTTCCCCTACCATCACTGAGAACCTGTTTACGAAACTTCAACAACTCGTGATCACTACGGTAACCAGTGTCCGAGTCATAGTCCCGCATACGATGGGAATGTTTCCCCCGAGACCCATGATGGCGGTGACCATGGCTACTGTGGTTCTGCATTACATAGGGAGAGTCACTTCCATAAATACCGAAATGGGATTTGGACTTGGGCATGTCAGGCTTGTGATGGCCGTCAGCAACATCAGCAGGAATATTGGGTGACGATCCGGAACCTCGTACAAGCTGTGTTCTGCCCTGTGAGAAGCCTCCATTGTCATCTGTCAGAACAGTGCAGAACATCAGTTAGCTCGAGATCTAATTGGACTAAGGTTTCAGCTGTATTGGAAACAATGTGCTCATCATTTTCTGTAACGGTAAATAAATCCATTACAGAAAATGGTTGAGGCAGATAGTAACAGTAAATAATTTCCCCCCTAACCCAGACCAAATATCTACATAACAGTCCATATTTTCTTGTGAATATTACAGATTTTTTCTATGGAAAACAGTGAAAAATGATTTGTGGTAATGATAAAAAATAATATTGTTTCATCAATGTTTGAATTAAAGTTGTTTATTGCTACTCTATCAATAAAAACAAATATAAAACTCATGTTGTTCTACACAGGTTTGCTAATTTTCTAAGCACCCCGGGTACTTATTATGTTGAATACAGTAACACTTTGACGAACATGTCTGCTAAACGCCACCTTGGACCACAGTATTTCAGTATATCAGACTGATTTGAAACGGGATACAGACACAGGAAGGATGCAACAAACACCAGCAAGGATACAATCTGACAGTCCAAAGATAACAAGAAGACAAAGTCATCAATATCCCCCTCAATGGCAAAATACTCTTCATGATTATGTCTACAAGTTATGATTATGTCAAATATTGAGGTGTGTATATAGAAAAGTGGAAGGAGAGTATTGAAAGGTTTTTAAAGTTCTGCTCCAGAAAGGAGCACTATCACCAATTTCAGTCTATGTCAAACTTGTTGCCATGAAAACACCAAAAATATTTTATTCAGAATTCAAAAACTACCAAAGGGCACCATTACACCACCAGATCTATCTATGTGCCAAGTTTGGTGAAGAAATATTGAACGGTTTTAGAGTTCTGCTCCGGAAAAGACAAATGTGCACGGACGGAGTCCATTTTAATACCCCCCGCAAAAATTATAATCATAAAATATAATAAAAAGGAGCCCAGACACTTTCTTCATTCAAGACTTGCCACATGTTCTAGCCTTACATGGGCTGTCTTGGATATATTTGTTTTAAGGGTCTGTATGACAGACTACTGGCCCTCTGAATTGACACGGGCAAGTCTGCATAGGACATGTTTCTGGTGACCTAAACTCCTACAGTGATTCAACAAAACAACAACACGGCACCTTGGACTACCTGCCTGGTTTACACAATGGTTACCTTTCTTGTCCTTCTTCTGGGGTTTTGGTGTGAGGAGCGACACGGTCTCATCTTCCACTTCCTGGGACTGTCGATGTTGCTGCATGCGAGCTTTGTCCTTCTGCTGCTTTTCCTGGGTGAAAGAAGGGAGTGTAATTCATGCAAATTTTCCACAGAGTGAGTGGCGTGAACTGCATATACTGCAAGGACATTACTGATAAACGACTCTGTGTTCCATGATTTCATTCAGCACTAGAGTGAGTGAATATAATTCTATGTCCCTTTCAGCACTATTACCACAGTACATCCAGCCAGTCTCAAAGTCCCTTAAACAAATTCCTTCCATCCAACACTAAGACCAGATTTTCCCCAGGTTCTGAATCACCTATAATTACTGGTGTGTCTTTTCAGTTCTACTGAAGCTGGTTTGTCTCCCCCAAATTTCTATATTTTCAGAGATATGTAAGTATCGATGACAGGATACAACAGATGCACTTCAGACACCATAATCATGTGGTGAATTGAATATGTTGTGATGAGGTAACACTTTAACATAAGCTTCCTCCCTGCCCCTTAAACAATGATAAAAAAGTCATCATGGGAAAAGGTTGATGCATTAACTAAAACAGATAAACTCTTACATCTGTCTGTCACATGAACTATTTCAAATTCTTACTCAAATTTAATTCAAGGGCATATATGAAAACTATAACCTACCTGAATCTGACAGAAATTAATTATACAAACATAATCTAATGCACATATGATTGTACACATAATTCTGCAAAATGAATCACAACATTATCAATACAGAAAGTTTTATCATCGTAAAATCTGATTGGTTGTTGCTTAGCCTCACAAGTTACTGTCTTGATAAAATCCCACTCTCATTAAAATGGGATCTTCATCCTTGCTACTGCTGTCTGAAGACATCCATTACAGGTCACCTCAGAATGATCTTTAATAAACTTTGAGTAAAGACCAACAGGAAGTCATTAGACATTTAGAAAACATTATTCTTCAGCTTTGTTGAAGTTCTCAAATCAGTATTTGAAAACTGAAGAACAGAATGACTGACTGACTGAGTTTAGTTTTACGCCGCTTTTAGCAATATTCCAGCAATATCACGGAAGGGGACACCAGAAATGGGCTTAACACATTGTGCCCATGTGGGGAATCGAACCCGGGTCTTCGGCGTGACGAGCCAACGCTTTAACCACTAGGCTACCCCACCGCCCCTGAAGAACAGAAACTTCTGGAGTGTCTTATAGATTTCCAACATGGTATGGCTGTATTTCCCACAGACAATGTGAAATTGCTTTCTTTTCAAATGTTTATCCCATTGAAAGCGAGAGATAGATGATATGGAACGTTCCATGTTGACCTTTTCAAGGTTGCATGATTATAATACACAGACTACACTTTAAACATTTCACAAGAAATGCCCTAATTATTTGAATGAAAGGTCATTCTGACTGAGCCTGTAATGGGATGTCCTCATATCTCTATGTAAAGGTAGCTAACACGAACATCAGACTTTATTGAGATTGGCAAAACCCATCCACCAAATGGAGATCACGATGTCACATTTGATCAGCACCACAAAGCAGCTGATCATGATACACTGATACACACAAAGTAGATCTAATCACATAATATTCTTTCACCCAAACTTACTAACACATGAACATGAAATCATGAACTTGATGCATGTGCCAAAGATGTGCACGTACTGGATATTACAAGCCTTATGTCTGCGTAAACTCAACATTCTGTCTATGAGTGCACAAGATCACTCAGTTTGAAAACCTTTCCATTGACACATGTTTCACGCAGACCCCAAAACATACATTTTACGATAGGCTGTTCATTATGTCCATGGTTACCTAATACTAATGGGGCATTTCCCTTTAAATATGAATGATTCAATGGAATCTTTTTGATGAAGAACTACCTTATCGTATCGATAGAGACGATGGGTTTCCTTAAGTACAGGAGAGGAGGGTTTGGTGATGCGAGCCTCTCTCATCCTCACCCCACTGTCCTCGGGGTGGTTCCCGGCCCCGCCCTGCACACACACAGAAGTTACGGGGGTTAGAGATACACAACACAACACACGTTACATCTACATCAGCTATGGCAAAAATTATTGAATTATTATAATTGTATTAGATATATAATAGAGAACCTTGAAAACATGTTTGCTCTGAATATATTATCAGCTCATTAATTTGCTACAAAGTCAAATGCATCTTGATGAAACAAGACATGAATATTTAAAGTAGAATATCAGGCAAGACCAATTTATTTTCTTACAAAATAGGTCAAACCAGCCCTGAATTTAAAATAAGGATAATATTAATCAAAATGTTCTGCTTTACTGAAAACAATCCATGCTTTTCAAACATTAAATATTTTTACAATTTTGCTTCCTTTTGGCATTTTGTAAAGAAACTCTATAAAACTAGAAAGAGAATTGGTCCAGCTTTACAGCTTGATGTAAAACCAAAAACTATATAGATAAATAAATAAAACAAAAGTATCTCAAAAATATTTAAATAGCTTGTTTGAATTAAACTGAACCAACTTTCTTCATTAAGATAGATTTTTTAAAAGCTGACATATTCCCAAAGATTTGAAAAAATTGTGTCCAATTATCAGAGGCTATATTTCAACATACAACAGATATTACATATTCACCACGCTCCGTAACCAAGATTATGATACAGTCACATTATATGGTGTTAGAGATTCAATAAGGCAATTACTTTTAAATACATATCATATATATCTGAAAATGAAATATGCAGGTTTGTGTACTAGTAGGAACCAGGGTGGGTGTGGCAACATAAAAACAAGCAAAATCCACAACCAAAACATAACAAATAACAAACAAAAAACAAAAGATCATGCATGAATCAAAACTACAAAACGCATGCTGCAAGCAACTACACAAAGAAAAGAACCTCAACAGATACTAACACTACTGTCTCAGTCAGGAGATGAACATGGTCAGTATACAACAAAAGTCTTACAACTAATGCTTAGTCTCTGAATATGGTGGTGGTGGTGGAATTGGGTTTAACGTCGTGCTTGAGAATATTTCGCTCATATGACGACATGCATGCGTGTGTATGTGTATGTGTGGCTGCTTGTACTAACCCAGACTGAAGCTGGTTTTTTTTATAGTGCTAGCCCACTGAGATACCATGCCGCAGTGAAGCATGAATACCCCACTCAGACACATTATACTGACTCTGAGCCGACCAGTCCTTGATGTACCCATTAATGCCGAGCGCCAGGCAGGGACCAACAAGTACCATATTTTAACGTCTTTTGGTATGACGCGGTCAGGGATCGAACCCGCGACCTTCCGCACTCCGGGCGGATGCTCTAACCACTACACCATGGAGGCGGTCGTCTCTGAATATATATGATGTTGATAGTTACAAATAAACTCATTTAAGTTGAAAAGGAGCCCAGTCAGTTGGGAGATTCTGAGGAAATCTAGACTTGCTTTTTTTAGGGCTTTAGCATTGCAGGAAGGGCTAGGCAGTAAGGAAAATAATGTGGTTCAGGGACCGTGACACAGACTAGTCTTGACACTGCCACAGCTGTTTTATGGAGGTATTCATCAGGAACTCTAGATAGATAGTTTGCCGTTTTTGTCATTTGCAGTTTTGGGTACAATAAACTATGTTTATAATGGACACATATGAATGGATAGTTATAATGCTTATAATGAACAACCTATTTTTTTCCCCAGCCACATGATGCATATTTTATTTGAAATCAGTTCACGAACTATGGTTACAACAAACTAAAATTACTGGTCCCTTTGAGATTGTTATAACAGTTTATTGTAATTAGCTACATAGGATGTAAGGGCACATAATTCCTCTAACAGACACTGGGTTACTGACAATTGTCATTTGCAGTTTAGACCAGTTAACCAGAAAGGTCCAATGGGCACATATAGGGTACAGTGTATTTCCTCAATAAAACCACTGCCTCAAAGTCACCAGATCATATGCTCTGTCCGAAAAATGAAAGCCAGGCCTCTATTAGTCACAAGTCACGTGATAACAGTTTTCTGTTTTATAATGTGTAAATTGGTCAATGATAATGGTCACTGCATATGTACACTTTGTATGACTGCAAGGTAGTGCGTTCAAATCCCATGTGCGGATATGTTCATAATATTTTTTGGCTTGCAGCAAGTTCAAGCCCGGAAAACAGTCCCTGACCATGTTCATCTGTAGTATATGATAGGTAGATCTAACGAAAATCTGGTTGACATGTTTCTGTCATGAAACTTGTAATGGCTTTTAAAAAAACAAAAACACTTCATCAAACATTATTATTATCCGTATTATGTCAGTTTTTACTTCCATTTTACATACATTTAATGCCGTCCAGGCCAGTCTTCATTGCCTATATGGGAGACATGCTTATAGATCCGAACTGGATGAAGCCAAGTTGAATATTGGCAGTTTACACCAAACAAAAACGTTTGAAAAATGGAACAAAGTCTGATGTTTATAGCTACAACCAGATTTTCATCGACAACAGCCAATATATAATGTACATCAAATAAACATGCTATATACAAGCTATCTACTGCTGAATACTAATATACATGAAGTGCCTATATCCCAGGTTTACCTCCGACTCGTAACCAAGGTTCTCCATGCCTTGGTCCCATTGGCTGCCTTCGTTGCCCACTGATTGTCGCATGGCCAAATTGCGAGCATGTCTGGCTTTCTCTCGCATTTCTTTGGGATAAGGGGTCGGGCATCGATACAAGTGGCCCTGTGTTTGGGAGAGGTATGTTTACCTAAGGCACTGTACAGTTGCTATGGTTACATAAGAGTGGACATATGCATTTTGAAAACAACATTGTCACTGCTTTGATGATGTGAATATAATGGCATAAATGATTTATGGAAAAGATTGTGTTAAATTTTAATTTCTTGTGTCGAACAAGATATTTTTGTGGAAATATCTTATTTTTATTAAACAATTGCACAGTGTAAAGTCATTGTGAGGCGTAACACTGCTCTGAACAAAATCTCATCTCTATTATCCCATTAAACTTCTCTAGATTAATTCCACGTCATTTAATCATTGTCAATGTCAAACATGTTTATTTTTAAACAGAGAAATAGCTAAATATAATGCTATAATACAGGAAGACAGATATATCCATCATCAAAACAAATAATCACAGTTGTTTTCAAAATACAAATAAATGCCCAGTGACTTTAACCCCTTGAAGATGTCTGTCATTTAACAGAATCACAAAAGCAACAATACTTCAAACATGCAATCAGATATCAATATGCATAAATGTGTACAGTACACAACAGATGAAAGGAAGTCCATGTTGGATACATCCTAATACACTCTGTATATATGACACAGCAGCATTCTCAACACAGTTAGTCCAGCATGCTGGGACGTCTTAGACAGGTGCTTGGGGAGTGTGTATATACATCAGGAGAACATGGTTACATCATGTGCATTTAGTCAACATGTTATCAACATTAATCACAATACATTTCATGCAGAATAACTATATTAGTGTTAGAATTCACTCAGCTGGGATAGACAACCAGTCAAGCGTAAATCAGGTCCACTGAATAATTTCAAATTAATTACTAATTATTTCAATAAAAGGAGTTATGAAAAATGAGAATCAAAAATAAATTTTTCAAAGACTAAACAAGTATTGGCAAAAATTTAGCTGTCTCAGTTTTCATCAAATATAAACAAGCTGTTCTATTCAAACCAACAAAAAGTTGTCTCCCTTTAGAACCAGGGAAGTTTCTTTTCTGAAATATCTGTTTAAAAATGCCTCAATACATCTAAAAACATATGATGGCTACAAATGTTCAAATATTTAAAAAATCAAAATCCTGATTGAAGCTGACATGGACTGAGAGAGATCTCTAGTGGCAGATGTTATCCCAGTTAGTTGTCAGTAAAACGTGTTCGTGTCCTACTTACGTCTTCATCCACCTCATCACCAAACTCGAAGTGTATTTGTTGTCGCCGTGCTCGCTCCTCGTCCCACATGGATGCGTGGAAGCTGTCGGTGTCACCCCCGCCACCGCCTTCATCTGCATGCCAACAACAGGTTATTTGGGGCTTATGTGATAAATACAATATTTCACATGTTGCGGAAAGGTCAGCTAAACTGTGAGTGAGTGAGTGAGTTTAGTTTTATGCCGCACTCTGCAATATTCCCGCTATATGGCAAATGACTGTAAATAATCGAGTCTGGACTAGACAATCCAGTGATCAATAGCATGAGCATCGATCTACGCAATTGGGAACTGATGGCACGTGCCAACCAAGTCAGTGAGCCTGACCACCCGATCCCATTAGTCTCCTTTTATGACAAGCATGGGTTACTGAAGATCAATTTTAACCCAGATCTTCACGATTCAGCTGAACTGTACTTTGATTGAAACTTAGAGGCACACCATTTTAATTACTAATAAATACACATCCTAATATGATGGAAAAATAACACTACATTTCATATTTTCAAGGGGCGGTAGGGTAGCCTAGTGGTTAAAGCCGTCACACCGGAAGACCCGGGTTCAATTCCTCACATGGGTACAATGTGTGAAGCCCATTTCTGCTGTCCCCTGCCGTGATATTGATGGAATATTGCTAAAGCAACGTAAAACCATCGAAGTTGGAAGGGCATACCACAATGGATAGCTATGACTTAGTGTTAAAAATTTTCACTTCATTCTGTATGTGTCTGTGGAAACCACAGAATAAGGCAACCATAATCCAGAGGGAATGTTTACGCCTTAATTACTAAATTCACTCACTCACTCATATCTTCAAAATTGTGCATATTTTCATTTTGTTGGAGAAAATTGTGCAAGTGTCAAATCAAATTGAAACATGAAATTTCAAAATTAGCATCTGATTCCTGTAACTGAAAAAGCGAAACAAATCATGAACAGCTATCTGTGTATAAAACAGGTTTATTACACAAGTTTTAACCATAGCAACATCGAACACAATGGCGCGCCGACTCCATCTAGACATTGACTCACCGTCATGCTGCTGTGTCTGGGGCAGGAGGTAGCACGTGAGGATCTTCCTGTTGCTGTTGGTTTCTGGGTCATAGTCAGACTGCAGCGGGATCAGCGGGCGTGTCTGAAACAAATTCAAACAATTTTCAGCACATTTCAATAAGTCTTATATTTCAATCACTCATAGTTAATGTCTTTGCTCATAAGGCCTAACATCTACCCCAAGATTTCCGAATCTGGAATCCCCCTGATCCATAAATCTTCCTTGAGAACTATACACCTGGACCTCAACATGATGTTCATCAAAATACTAACCACAAATGAGGCTCAGGACCTAGATTTTCGAAGCTCTCCTACTAGTCCTAGTGTTAAGATGATCGTAAGTGCCATACATTAACATTAACTTACGAGTATCTTAGCTCTAAGAGAGCTTTGAATATCTAGGCCCTGGATTAGTAAGGATTGACTTCACTTAACACAGAAGGCTGTATTAGAGCACTCTTAAATTTGTTGTACTGCTTGTTGACTAAACCAGACCATTCGGCACACTTGATTGTGTGTTATCATATTCAGACGGAAGACCACCATTGTTTTTTCAGACACTGTCTTCAGACCCTCTTGTCATAGCTCGAAATATTGGGAAGTGCAGCTTGAAGCAACAAACACAAGGGATTGTGGGAAGCCACGACATGGTGTCTAGTACTGTCTACCTGGTTCTCTGTCAGCCACAACGCCTGCAGTTCCTTCAGCTTGATGACGGAGAACGGCAGATGCTGGAGACGGTTGTCACTCAGGTTGAGGACCCGTAACCTTGGGATACGCCCGATCTCGTCTGGGATGTACGTCAGCTTGTTACTTCGTAGAGACAGGACTGTGATTCCATTGCAACTGCCGATCTGCAGCACAGACGTGTTCATTGTTACACATAATATACAGCCAGTATGTATTACAAAGCACTGTCTGTACCCTGTGTGTCCAACACAGAACATTAATCTCTGACTACCATCAGTTAAGTAATAACACTCACATCAGCAGGTAGAAACTCCAGGAAGTTTTCATCAGCATAGAACGTTCGCAGATTGCGGAGAAGACCGATGCTGGCGGGTAGCGCCTCGATGTCATTAGCACTGACATTCAATTCAGATAAGGCCGACAACCTAAACAAGCAAATAACACAAACATATTACCTTTAAAAGTGGATAAAAAAACCTGTAAGACAATCTTCATGTCTGCAACCATTTTGTCACATCCCAGGTGAATGCTTGAGATCATTACAACCTGTGTCAGTCACTCTCATTTGCTTTCTTCCACCAAACCACCCTTGTTCAGAATCTTAAAGACTTATCTAACAGTCATGTAAGTGTCACTATGTATACTGAATTTCAAATTAAATTCTTGTTAAAAAAATTCAATTCTTAATTCTAACAATGAATACAGATTATGACAATGACATGCATATTTTTACAATGAATATAAGAGCTTTTCAAAACTGAAATAATCCAAGGGAGACAACTGAAAACACAAACGCAGTTAACCTGGCTTACCCTCCAATTGTCTTGGGTAATGCAATCAGCTGGTTGTCATCAACCTTCAGTGTGGTCAGGTTGTTCAAATTCCCTGGGAAAACAATAATCCAGTTATTATCCATACTTGCAGATATAATTCATAAAATTCTCAATTAAAACTCTTTGCAAGAGTAAGGGGATATTTTTATAGTGTTTTAAGTTTAAAAATATATTTCTATTTTGGGTAAAAAAACGTAAAAGTAACCTTGATTTGATTGTTGATGTCATAACTTGTGAAAAATTCAACATGAAGGGCCTTACTTTACCTGTAAACCATTTATATAACCGTATACAGTGTAAGCCATAGTGGACGAGTGGGTTAGGCAGCTGACTTTGTGTGCTGGCGATTAGGTGCCTGTCTCTGAGGGTGTGAGTTCTAATCCCAAATGGGACTCAACCCAACAAAAGTTCTAGAATCAGTACTATACTGAGAAAGTGTAATCCCATATATAACAAGAGTCATCAGAAGATGACATATCCCCCTGGCCCCCACATCTTTGAAAGAACAAATCATCTGACAGTTACTTAAAGTCCAGCTTGATTTTAGACTAAGTGCAAATCGTTTCCATGGAAATCATGAAAAAAATAAATGACAAAAATCTGCAAATAGCAAAAGGCACCACTTTGGGATCTGCCTCACATATCTGCCAAGTTTTGCTGAAAGATATTAAGAAGTTTTCGCGTTGTGCTCCGGAAACAAAACCCATCCCTTCCTTTTTGAGACTAAGTTCGAATCATTTCCATGGAAACCGAGAAAATAATAAATCACAAATATCTGCAAATAGCAAAAGGCATCACTTCAATATCTGCCTCACATATCTGCCAAGTTTTGCTGAAAGATATAGAGAGGTTTTTGAGTTGTGCTCCGGAAACGAAGCCCACCCCTCACTTTTGGGATTAAGTCCGAATCGTTTCCATGGAAACCGGGAAAAATAAAAATGCCAAAAATCTGCAAATAGCAAAAGGCACAACTTTAGGATCTGTTTGATATATCTATCAAGTTTTGTTGAAAAATATTATATGGTTTTTGAGTTGTGCTCCGGAAACGAAAGCAATCCTTACTTTTTGAGACTAAGTCCAAAATGTTTCCATGGAAACTCAGAAAAATAAAAATGCCAAAAATCGGCAAATAGCAAAAGGCACCACTTAAGGTTCTGTTTCATACATCTACCAAGTTTTGTTGAAAAATATTGAACGGTTCTTGAGTTATGCTCCGGAAACGAAGCCCACCCCTCACTTTTGGGACTAAGTCCGAATCGTTTCCATGGAAACCGGGAAAAATAAAAATGCCAAAAATCTGCAAATAGCAAAAGGCACCACTTTAGGATCTGTTTGATATATCTACCAAGTTTTGTTGAAAAATATTGAATGGTTCTTGAGTTATGCTCCGGAAACGAAAGCAATCCTTACTTTTGAGACTAAGTTCAAAATGTTTCCATGGAAACCGGAAAATAAAAATGCCAAAATCGGCAAATAGCAAAAGGCACAACTTTAGGATCTGTTTCATACATCTACCAAGTTTTGTTGAAAAATATTGAACGGTTCTTGAGTTATGCTCCGGAAACGAAGCCCACCCCTCACTTTTGGGACTAAGTCCAAATCGTTTCCATGGAAACCGGGAAAAATAAAAATGCCAAAAATCTCCGAAATGCAAAAGGCACCACTTTAGGATCTGTTTGATATATCTACCAAGTTTTGTTGAAAAATATTGAACGGTTCTTGAGTTATGCTCCGGAAACGAAGCCCACCCTTCTTTAAGACTAAGTCCAAAAAGTTTCCATGGAAACCGAGAAAAATAAAAATGACAATTATCTGTAAATAGCAAAAGGCACTACCTTAGGTTATTTTTGACATATCTACCAATTTTGGTTAAAAAATATCTAACGGTCTTTGAGTTATGGTCCGGAAACAAAATGATTACGGACGGACGGACGGACAGACGGACGAGGCGACGACTATATCCCACCGCATTATATGCCGGTATTGTAGTATGTAGTAATGTTACATTTGAATACTTTCTAGATGGCATTGTGTATTCATATATAGATTTCAATGTCGAAGAATACCCACCCAATGAGTCTGGGAGTTCTGACAGGTTGTTGGTTGTCAGGTGGAGATCAGCCAATGAGGAACAGCCTTCTATTTCCCTTGGCAAGTGCTCGATGACATTCTTCGATGCATCAAAGAATATGAGCTGGTTTAACCTGCCGATAGTCTGGAAAACAAAATGGAGACTTAGTACACTAACGTGGTACACGGGAAGCACAAGAACGCTGTAGACAGAGAGTATTCATATCAAGCAGCTGGTACACGGGAAGCACAAGAACGCTGTAGACAGAGAGTATTCATGTCAAGCAGCTGGTACACGGGAAGCACAAGAACGCTGTAGACAGAGAGTATTCATGTCAAGCAGCTGGTACACGGGAAGCACAAGAACGCTGTAGACAGAGAGTATTCATGTCAAGCAGTTGGTACACGGGAAGCACAAGAACGCTGTAGACAGACAGTATTCATGTCAAGCAGCTGGTACACGGGAAGCACAAGAACGCTGTAGACAGAGAGTATTCATGTCAAGCAGCTGGTACACGGGAAGCACAAGAACGCTGTAGACAGAGAGTATTCATGTCAAGCAGCTGGTACACGGGAAGCACAAGAACGCTGTAGACAGAGAGTATTCATGTCAAGCAGCTGGTACACGGGAAGCACAAGAACGCTGTAGACAGAGAGTATTCATGTCAAGCAGCTGGTACACGGGAAGCACAAGAACGCTGTAGACAGAGAGTATTCATGTCAAGCAGCTGGTACACGGGAAGCACAAGAACGCTGTAAACAGAGAGTATTCATATCAAGCAGCTGACTTTGTTGACAGAGAGTATTCATATCAAGCAGCTGACTTTGTTGACACGTGTCATCGTATCCCAATTGTGTAGATTGATGCTCATGCAGTTTATCACTGGATTGTATGGTCCAGACTCAATTTTGACATACCGCCACCATATAGCTGGAATATTGCTGAGTGCGGCATAAAACTAAACTCACTCACTCACTCATATCAAGCAGCCATTCTTGGTGTAAGTCTTCAGTGGCTTGTCTATGTTTACAACAGATGATCCATCTTAATATTTCACAAGGTTAAAGAGCAAAAGCTGGTTCTGATTTTAGGGCTTCAAACTTTTTGTACAGGCACTATGGCCAAACAAGGCACATGTTAGTCTACAACTAGAGATTACTTGGTCAAAGTTTTACAGCCCCAAGGACAACAAAGCTAACTCGTCGTGGTCTTACTTACATTTGTCACTCTCTTGATCTGGTTGTTGTCACACCACAGTTCCAGTAGAGTGGTCAGGTTGTCCACAACATCAGGCTGAAGGAAACGAAATTCAGATAACACACAATCCGACAAAAAACTTTCAGTATTGTAAAACAAATGCATGAATATACTTAATTCCAGAATATACTTAATTCCAGAATATACTTAATTCCAGAATATACTTAATTCCAGAAATGTTTTTTCAGCTAAGAGATGAGTGAAAAATCTTGGCCTTGACAACAATAATAAAACCATGTGTGCACATTTTAATGTACCAAATTCCACACAGTAAAGCATGCTCGAAGTTATACATTATCTCAATGGAGTGAGTGAATGAGTATGGTTTTACGTCGCTTTTAGCAATATTCCAGCAATATCACGGAAGGGGACACCAGAAATGGGCCTCACACATTGTGCCCATGTGGAGAATCGAACCCGAGTCTTCGGCGTGACGAGCAGACGCTTTAACCACCAGGCTACCCCACTGCCCCCTCTCTGTCAATGGATCAGAACTCAGTTTTCATTCTCAACTCCCTTGGTATCACACAGATGCCTGAGGCACAAAAAGGTTAACAGCGACATGTCGTATCTCATCCTAGTCACTGCTTGGCGAACAGAGGCAGTTGTTTACTGCATAATACCCATCACTGAGCAGGACCCACACTTTAACAAGCAAGGGGTCCGAGGACCTTTATCTCATTAAAATGTTATCTTCAGGGGTGGTGGGTTACCCTTGTGGTTGAAGCATTCCCCACATGGGTACCGGTATATTGTGTGAAGCCAATTTCTGGTGTCCCCCCACCATGATATTGCTGGAATATTGCTGAAAGTGGTGTACAACTAAACTCACTCACTCATCATCCAGAGGCCCAGATAAGCTGCGTATCTGGGTAAAATACGCATAGAAACTTCCAATTACGAATTGAAAAATAATTGTTGCGTACCAATTACGCATTTAAACTGTTAGATACGCAAAGAGTTTAAAACAAATTATATTTTGGCCAATTTTCTCTATTTTTTCCCCATATAATATACAACTGCCAAGCTGGCAGGGAACAATATTTAAATCTTGCATAATACAAGGACAAACGAGCATAATCTCCCTCAACATATGAAAGAGGAAAACATATCTTACCAGCTCTGTAAATTCATTATTGCCAATGTCAAGTCTTTCCAAATCAGCAAGCCGACTGAATGAGTTTGGCAAGGTTTTCAAGTGATTTTCCCGAATCTCTAAGATCTTGAGATGGACTAACCTGCAGATTCAAATAAAACAGGTAACACTTTTAATAGAATAGACAGGGAGTTCATGAGTTTAAGTCCTGATTCATACATTAACTCTCAGCTTGAGAACACTTCAAATGTGGATTAACAATCAAGGGGAGATAACTGTGATCATCCTATCTAATGACTCCCTCACAAAAGCTTTTATTTACATTTCTGATTTATCCGAGTTATTTTGAATGCTTTTCCTTTCAGTCCAAGGACTCTCAAGGTGAAGGTTACATAACAACATCACTCCTGCTTCCATTTGTTTTGCGCGCCAGACTGGAAAATAATCTGAGAAAACATGCCAAGAAAATCTATCTGGTTAAGCATACATACAAAATCCTGAGCATACAATGCTCCTGTCATGAGGTCTGAGAGACAGGCACTTACAAATCCATTGAGATAAATTCAAAAAAGGCCTACCAACCAACAGACTCAAGTGATATGATTACAAATTGAGCGTCAATTCATATCTAATCCAGCTTTGTACATCTCTTAATTCATGGGCACATGCTTATCAGTGCATAACTGGCGTAGGTTAATTCCTTCACAAGAATGAAATGAGGAGACATAGTTACCTGCCAAAACTACCAGGTAGGAAGTCGAGGAATGTGTCATTTAGGAACAGGGACGTCAGATTCTGAAGCTGCGTGAAACCTTCTGGTAACCTGGAAATAAATCAATTTCAGTAAAGCAAATGGAAAAAATTGGCATCTTTATCTATATGCAACACAAGGTGTTGATGTCAGATAAAATATCCTGAAGATTGAGTGAATGAGTGAGTACGGTTTAACGCCTCTTTTAGCAAGATTCCAGCAATATCATGGCGGGGGACACCAGAAATGGGCTTCACACATTTACCATTGTGGGGAATGAGTCTTCAGTGTGACGAACGGATGTTTTAACCATTAGCTACCCCACCACCTCATAACCAGTAGAAACCTGACTTGTATGACAAGTCTGTTGAGCTATCATGAAATCAATTAAAAACCAAACTGCTTTCTTTGGTGTCCACTGTAATGTGATTTCTGTTTCACCCCCAAAAATTCTTCAGACTATTACTGCCTTTTTCATAATGATTTAAACACATCTGAGATGACAGAATTTGGGATTCAAATCAGTCAGAAACTTAAATGAGCAAAGGCTTTAACCACTAGGCTACCTCACCACCCCGTGTGAGAGAGAGAGAGTAATTAACAGATCAGTTAGCCTGATGTGAATCAGGTCCAGTAGGGACGAATTTGGGATTCAAACCCATAACAAATTCAAATAACTGAACACTTTAACCATTAGGCTACCTCACTACCCCCTGTGTGAGAGAGAGAGAGTAATTAACAGATCAGTTAGCCTAATGTGAATCAGGTCCAGTAGGGACGAATTTGGGATTCAAACCCATAACAAATTCAAATAACTGAACACTTTAACCATTAGGCTACCTCACTGCCCCCTATGTGAGAGAGAGGGTGTTGAGTGAAGATCAGTTAGCCCAATGTAAGGCAGGTCCAAAGATATTTACCCTTTTTCATCTCATCTTTTTCTTTTTCATACAATGAGAATGAACCCTTTCCTTGGAACCAGCAAGTCTAGCTTAGAGGATGAAACATAGCAGACAAAGCCAGATAACAAATGCATGCGATCAAGATATAAATATTTGTTCAAACAGTCTTGTCAAACAGCCATTCAGATGTCTGAAGCGCATTTACAGTGCATGACATTTCGTTGGGAGATTTTCAAATAGAAAAACAGATAATCTTGCTAAAAGAATGAAAAGAAAGCATTCAAATACTCCTTGGAAAACGATCCAAATTATTGCCATCTATAATCACACAGACCAGCTTCCGCAAAGTGGAAGCTAATTCCTTCTTGCTGGACTATTATCAGCGGACCATAAAGCAACAGTAAGAAATGGAAGCCAAATAAAACATTTCATTATCTCAACTCAATATTTGTTTGGTTGCAACCAGTCAGGGAAGAAGGTATATTGGTTCTTCTGTAAACAGCTCGAACAAAAACTGGAGACAAACACGAATAGAAAACACACAAGTTAACCTGTGACATTTTCATAATAAAGATGGAATTTAGGTCAGTGTCAAAGTCCTATTTGTGATCTTACATTTGAGTATGTAAATATGACTCATTGGAGAATATAGGGTAGCTTAGGAAATAACGTAGTGTTAGAGCTAAAGTTGGTGATTTGATGTGCAGGTGCACCGTGTGTTTGTATGGGATGAGTTTAGGATCAGTTTCAGAATGACCATGCTGAGCGAAAATTACAGGTTGTCATAAACACTATGAATTATTATTTATCATCTTAAGCCAGGTTGTTAGGAAGTGTATGCATGTAACATGTCATTACTGGTGTCATTGTTTACTGTTAATGGTTAGCAGAGGTAAGGATTTTTAGCATCATCATTCATCTTGTTGCTAATGTAGTCGCTTGCTTATATGATGACAACTAATTTTGATTGTGTGAATACGTGATGTGGGGTTGCATAGAGCAGAGTAGAATGGGGGAGCGAGAGATTTAGTGTTGGGTAAGGTGGTGCAGCATACAGGGCAGACGTAATTGACAGAACCACAGTGAAATTTCGGTTAAGAGTAGCATAGCTCAGGTTGAGTGAGTGAGTGAGTGAAAGTGAGTGAGTGAATGAGAGTGAATGTCAGTGAGTGAGTGAGTGAGTGAGCGAGCGAGTGAGTTGGGTTTTATGCCGTTTTTAGCAATATTCCAGCAATATCACGGAGGGGGACACCTGTAATGGGCTTCACACATTGTACCCATGTGGGGAATTGAACCTGGGTGTTCGGCACGACGAGCGAACACTTTAACTACTAGGCTACCCTACTGCCTCTAGCTCAGGTTGAAGAGAGATCAGGAGCAGGGTTGGACGGGGTAGACTTTGGGCAGAACGGAGTGGAATGGTGTCAGAGGAGTTCTGGTTTAGAGTGATGAGCTTTGAGTACATTATGGGGAGGGGATACAAAGCTTGAGATGTGTTTGGTTTGAGTAGAAAAAAGAACATGCTGCATGCTCAACAACTGCACCGACTACTGCCTGACTGACTGAGTTTAGTTTTACGCCGCTTTTAGCAATATTCCAGCAATATCACGGCGGGGGACACCAGAAATGGGCTTAACACATTGTGCCCATGTGGGGAATCGAACCCGGGCCTTTGGCGTGACGAGCCAACGCTTTAACCACTAGGCTACCCCACCGCCCCGCACCGACTACTGGCCCAATCTAGCATGATGTCCGAAGAAACCCTTCCAAGAAGTTATGCTCCACAGATTATGCTACTTTCAAAGATGGCAAAAAACCTGATAACATTTCTCACCTTCATACAGACAGTAAAAATGAGATACAGTGAATGACAACAGCCACCTCTTCACCTCCTCCGTTCAACATAAAACACTTTGTTTCCTTTATCACATGAAAATTGTTATATTATTCACAAACGTTCACATAAAATATATATCAAAGAAATCAAATGGTGCCTTTTGGACACTAAACACATAAAATATTATCAGTAAAATCACCACCTCAAGATATTAAACCATGGAATGCAGCCCCATCCAATAGTTTCTGTTGAGAAAGAGCGTAATGATCTGAGCGTGATGGACTCAGGCGACATATCTACTGTGGTGTCTTTGTCGCCCAATTATCAAGGTCTGCCTCACGCCTCGTGTCTCCGTAGCTACGCAATGTTAGGCTGCGTTCATGCACATCCTGCACCCGCTTTTATCACTCACACAACAACAGGTGCACTGTCTCTCACCTGTAGTCAACAGCTGCGGCTGCTGTAACCCTACGCCACTCCACACTCCATGGTTGACACAAGGTGCCAACAGGAGTGTCAAGTATTTGTCAAAAGTTTCTAGAGGTTCATATTCCCTCTTCTATTCACATTTTTTCTTCTCTCTCGAGATCCTATTATCAACATACAGACTGATGCTTCTTAAAGGGACTCTTCAATTTATAAGAAAAACACTTGCTGCAACACAAAGCTCTCTTTGAACTTTACCTAAAGAAATCTATGTGACATTCCAAGTATTTGTATTAACATCTGAACACACAGATATAAAGTTCTTTTTTTTTGGTACTGGTTCTTATTTCTATGATTTTTTCACTTTAAACAAGGCAGAAGGTTTTACAACATTTTTAATATAAACTTTCATTTTTCAGTTAAGGGTTGATAGGCTACCTGGGCCCCATTTCATAACGCTACGACTGTCGTAAGTCTATGATACAGTTTTGGAGGTACGACAGTCATAGCGCGACAATAGCTTTGTGAAACAGGGCCAAAGCTTTCAGTATTTTAGGGATAGAACAAGGACTGTTAGCTCAGAGTCGATGTTGCTGAACTGAGGCATGGCATCTCATTTGCCTGGCACGATAAAAGTGGCATTACTCTGCACACATGCACGCACAAGTTCATGCATGTCGCAATATAAGTGCACCGATCCTGGCTGCCATGTATAACCCATTTCACTTCATTCAGAGCACTGTATGATGCTTTAACACTAACTTTAAGTGCAAGTAAAGATAATGCAGATGAAAACCCCAAACTTAAATACTACTTGGACGAACTCCAATGCTAATGAGTAATTAATGGCTGGTGTTTTTATGGGGTGTTCTCATGCAACTTGCAGCAACACTCCTTCACCTCATGTCACAGACACAGGTCATCATGGAGATGTTGCATGTTCAAGGTCAATTGGGGCGGTGGGGTAGCCTAATGGTTAAAGCGTTTGCTCATCACTCCGAAGAGCTGGGTTCGAGTCCCCACATGGGTACAATGTGTGAAGCACATTTCTGGTTTCCCCTGCTGTGATATTGCTGGAATACTGCCTAAATATTGGAACTTTGTGCCGCAAAAACATATTCACTCACTCAAGGTCAATTATCACAACTATATAGAGACCTAAATAAAACCAGCATTAGCCTGGACATGTACAAGCATATGCACACACCAAAAAATAATAATTCTCAATGCTTAAATTTGGAATATTTTGTTTCATATTACTAGAAAGAGATTTACAACATTTGAGGTGAGGTGAGGTGAAATTGGGTTTAGCGTCATGCTTGAGAATATTTTGCTCACATGACGACGTGCATGCGTGTGTATGTGTATGTGTGGCTGCTTGTACTAACCCAGACTTAAGCGGGTTTTATAGTGTTAGCCCACTGAGATACCATGCCGCAGTAAAGCATGAATACCTCACTCAGACACATTATACTGACTCCAAGCCGACCAGTCCTTGTTGTACCCATTAATGCCGAGCGCCAGGCACAGACCAACAAGTACCATATTTTAACGTCTTTTGGTATGACGCGGTTGGGGATCGAACCCGCGACCTTCCACTCTCTGGGCAGATGCTCTTACCACTACACCACGGAGGCGGACTGTACTACATTTGAACTATATGACTATCATGGAGTCATTATGTAGTTGGACTACGCATCAGTGGAACATCAAGAATTTGGTGCCATACGTGTCGGCAAATGTCAAAATGTGTCTTCGCCTCCCATACAAAGGGTGAATGTAAGAATGTTTTCAGGATGGCTGATAAATAATTTTAACTTATCATGGCGAGGAACGACACATTATCTGTCCCATGTGAATTAGACATAAATAAACAAAACACACAATAACTCACGTGCATTCACACA